CCCCCCAACGGCTAGATGGCTAGTTTTAGCTTTTTGGGGGGTTTTTTACATAAATACCCCCTAACAGTTGTAAACAGCTATATAGTGGGGTATTTATGTATTTTGCTTATAGAGGGGAGGAAAATGAAACAAATGCCCCCAGCAACTATATTACAACTAGTTTAGGGGAGCTACCACTATACCAGGGTTGGTTAGATGTAGTCATGCAGAATATAGATCACAACTTTACAATTACAAGATAAATGAGGGCATGATACTACTATATACATCGGATATTTCACTTGAAGCAAATGATGAAAGTCATGATTCATGAACAATAGTTGAATAGTTGTATAGAATTTTTTATTTTTTCAAATTATTATAAATTTTGTTTTAATATATTTACTATTATTGTAATTTTATATTTTCAATTTGTAACTATATTGTATTTTTTATATTTTATTAATTTATTCCATTTTCATATTTCATTCATCCAAGTATGAAGTATGAAGTATCCAACCATTGTATATTTCAAAATTTGTATGCTTTGTAATTTGTTATTTGTATCATTATTCATTCAAATTAAATGAAATAAAATTCCTATTTGAAATGTTATTTGTTTTATTTATTTATTTTTTGGGTAATCGCAGTCCATTCAGTCTAGCCCGGTTCAGCCCAGGCCCAAGGCCCGCCCTGTGACCCAGTCCGGCATGGCCTGCAGCCCTGCTCAGCCCAGATTTGAATTCAAATTCAATCCGATTATGGATGATCCAAATGTTGTATAATTGTATCTATTAGTAAAATTGATTTGAATATTGTGTTTTTACTAAATTTTTCATATGTTCAAGTTTCATATAAATAATTTTCAATTAATCTTGTTCAGAAAATATAAACGGTCATTTTTAATTCATTTTATTAATACTATACAATATTTTGTTCATAAAACACACAGCCAATCAATTGGCATGAGATGACCAATTAAGTGGTATTAATCAAATTTCACAGGTACTTTGATTAGTCAAAACTCTTCCCATGTCTTTTGGTTATTTGATTTTCCCTCTTTATAATATTCAATATCTGGTTATAATCTGAATCTAACCCAAGCCACTAGCTATTCCATGTCGTTGATTACGACACTGTTGTACCAAAAGTGAACTCTTTGACACGTGGCAGTCAACAGGGACTCTATTTGGAACACCATTAGACATCCATGATCCAACCATGCATGCAGCACAGACATTTTTTTTCGAAGTATGAATTTGCCCAATGCAGATTTCTAATTTACACTGCAGAGTATAAACATTCAAAATGATCACAACCCACATTCCATGCACCAACGCCCGCCCGTGAATTGACATCAATTCCGATCTGACACCTACCCCAATAGTACTTTGAGCCTACAAATTCTGATCCTGGGCTGATCGGTCATTCTTCCTCTATTTTTTTTTTTTTTGTATATAATGTTAGAATTCACAAGTTACAACTCACATGGCAGTGTCCATGCAATACAAATGTGAACCAAGCGTCATGCCAGGTGAGTCTTGCAGACAGCCCGGGCAGTCAAACTAGGACAGCCAAAATCTTCCACAATTTTAACATATGGCAAAATGGATGATGGAAGAACTTTGCAAATCGCAATCCACGCAAAATATCCGGAAGCAAACCTGACAGTTTATGCTGGTTGATGACAGTGAATTCTAAAAATAAACAGGCTGGCATGGACGTTATCTGAGTAGGTTTTGAAAAAGCAAAACCAGAAACCTGTCAATAGATTACAGCATCAACCCTTTTCAAATTCAGCTAGAAAGCCAGACAGAGAGAGAGATCAACTTGAAGTGCCAAGAGTAGGCAACTGTCTATAATCAAAGGCAACGACCAAATGCAACATGAACTAATTTCAAAAAAAAAAACATGAACTAATTTAAGTTTCTGGCATTTTTTTGATAGGTCCATTTTTCTAATACCCACCCATCCATCCATTCACAACAGTTGCTTTAGAATTTTCTTGCTGGAGTTCATTATGCCAATACAACACAAGAACCCTCTATAAATAATTATGCTACCTTATTATTCAGAGAACTCCAAAAAAGGGATTTACTATAGCAGAGTTCAGCTCAGAGCCAGCAGAGTTCAGCACTGCCATGTCAACCTTGTCCCTTGCAAGGAACAAAAACTCGCCCCCTTCAATTTTCTCGAATCCGCACAGCTCGAGAAACTCAATGCCTCCTTTCAAACTACCAACTCTATCCTGTTAACCATACACAGAACAGTTGAAGGTTACAGAGTCCATGAATAAAAGAGAGAAAAAGATAATGTGTTTGTGTGAATCTGAGAGGATTAACTGGGGGAACTTCAATCAATATCACCCTTTGGAGCAGTCAATAGACCTGATATGTAACACCATCAACTCAAAAGAGCACAATTATTCAGACAAAACAGTCCAATCAGTGTTTTCAACCCACCATTGACCCAACCACTCAAACTGTCACCCGGCCACGATTCCTAGTCTATTTTGGTCAAAACCCAGGATTTGCTTAAAAGCTGCTGAACTTGGTCAAAAACCAGTCAGCCCAGATGGTTGAACCGTTGACCCATTCGACTTGGTCACTGGGTCACAGGTTGCACACTCAATGCATGTGCAAGCTTCGGGATGCCATAACTTTGTGCTCTGATGTCTGATTAGCGTGATTTTTTTTTATTTTGAGTAACTTTTCAAGATCTGTGTCCAAAGGTGCCTTGCCTCGTTATTTTTGCCAAAATAAAACCTTCTTTGGCCTCATATTGCAATTTTTAGCATTTTTTACAAATAAAAAATTAAAAAATATATAAATTAAATATAAAATTATGCATATATGCATGTATGTATGTATGTTTGTGTGTATTAAATTTGCTGATGTGGCACGGTCTGACCCATTTGACCCGGAGGCAAAAACAGTTAGACCTCTAGGTCAGTTTTTAAAACATTGGGTCCAATCAGTGCAGTTTTAAGGCAACAACCAATACAAGAGTTCCCCATCAACTGGCACATTGGATCATTGAGATACTGATACTAATTACAAGAACCCGAATAAAATCATTCTCCACTCATCTATAAGTATTAATACATTTAAACTAATAAAAACCATTTAAATGTTTATAATTTACAAAGAGGATTATAAAGAAAAAAAAAAGACTTGAGTTAAAGGGCTTAAACATGACATATTATGTAAGGGAAGTTCTTACCTGGAAGGACGGGTTACTAAGTCGAATCTTCCTGAATTTCTCCTCATTGGGATTCTTTGCAACATTCCCTACATATGTCATTAGAGTTTGGAATGCCCTCTTCACTTTGGCATCATCATCCTTCCCAAGCAGAACATAAACTAGGGTGAGATTAATGAATGCAACAATTCTATGGAAAACCCAGAATTTTAACATATATAGAAGAAGTACTAGTTCTCATACTAAAAACGGAAAATGCATCCTTCTTCTCATAGATGCATTTGATAAATGAAGGAACAGTGTCCATAAATTTATCTTAGCTCTGCTCTGTAAAGCCAGACTCTTCTACACATTCTTAAGTTTGGAACATAACAGGTTTACAGAACCAGAAGAATTGAACCTTGCAATCTTGAACTTATCTCTTCAGACCATATCAAAAGTTATGGATATGTACCTAGTGTATGGAACATGTATAATATTGTATCGGCAATTTCTTATCCATAATATAACTGCACATTTTAAACATACTACAGGAAGGTTGAGTTATATAAGATGAGAATATTTATCATATATGCATACACTAGCATCAAATATTCTTGTACAATGCAAAATTTAAACAACAAAATTAGGCCCTTGTTTGGTGGTACCTTCGAAAGTGCTTTTCATACTTTCAAAAGTATGAAAGTATGAAAAGTATCGGAACGTGTTTGTTTGGGGTGTTTTTTACTTTTAAAAAACACAAAGTAAAAGCACAAAAAAACACGAAAATCACGAAKCCAGCTTTTGATACTTCGTGCTTTTTGGCTCTTTAACATACTTTATACTTTCTAAAATGTGTGCATCAACCACACTTGTAATACTTATACACCCCACCACGTAGTAGCATATATAAATGCTATGTGGAATTATGGAAACATTAACGTATTCAATGACACGTGGCATACAGTGTTGTTGACTTACCTTCAGGTGCCACATGCCATTCATCTATTTTGCCCCATGGCATCATGTCATTAATCCAACATTTAGATGCCACGTGGCATCCATATATATTGCCATGTGACACTTATGGATGCCACAAGTCATCTGAACATAATTCGTGACGATTATATGCCACATGGCATTCATCTATGCTGCCACATAACATGTAATATCTAGTGTTTTAAAAGGCGTGGGAGGCGTACGCCTGGAGGCACTAGGGCACCCCCCCTCCAAATGCCCAAAGGCATATGCCAGAGGCATTGACACCTATGAGGCGTGGCCTCAAGTGCAAGAGGCATACGCCTCGCTTTTTTCATGGGGCATATGCCTCATGCACACCTCATATAAAAAGGACAAAAAAGAAAAAAGTAAAGGAAAAGAAAGAAAGAAGGAAAAAAAAAGAGAAAAAGAAAGAAAAGAAAAGGAAAGGAAAGGGAAGGGAATAAAAGAAAAGGGAAAGAAAGTGGGCCAAGGGCTCTACCCCGAACCCCCATGGTTAGGGGGGTTCATATTGGACAATTTTGTATGCCCTTAGCTTCAATCAGAATGATGTACTTTAT